ACCACCACCACCACCACCACCACCACTACTACTACTACTACTACTACTACTACTACTACTACTACTACTACTACTACTACTACTACTACTACTACTACTAATAATAATAATAATAGTAATAACAATAATAACAATAATAATAATAATAATAATAATAATAATAATAATAACGATCAAAATAACGCACATGAAAAGGCGACTGCAATCTTTTAGTACTGTTAGTAGCTTACTTTTGATGTTGCTCATTACTGAGCAACATCAAAAACGCCCCGACTTTTAATATTTTCAAGCGTGTGACCAAACCATTTTTAAGGGTCACACAAGATACAACCTAAATACCTTAACACCTCATATCTATATTTTTCTCTAAGCACACTTATATACTTAAAATACACGTCTTTTTTTCTTTATTTTTAAATGCCGCCTAGTATTTAAATCTCTATTCCTCATAAGCTTTGCTTCTCGGAGATTTCCCCGCCACAGTCACTCCGTCCAAGTTGTATGCTCATTTTAAATTTAATATTAATTAAATATTTATTATCTTTTCCATTCTACTTGTAATTTATTCTGTCTGGCAAAATAATAAAATAAAATAAATAAAAAATACTTTTAATTACCCAACGAATGACTAATGCCTATGCAAAAATAAATCAATCAGCAATGAGTGGGATATTCACGGTATGTCACAAGAAGACGTGGAATAACTAATTTATCTCATACCACTCATCACGGCCACGTTAAATAAGTACAACAGCATAAGCTGCTATCCACACTCGCAAGGTTAAGTACATACACCCTTTTCTAAGCTTTTCCTGAAATGCTGAAGCAAGCTGGGAACCGGGAATTTAAAAACACTACCCACAATACCAGAAGGGGTTAACCTTTCTCGAGTACCTTTTTTACCTTGTTGAAATTTCGTCAGGATTTTTAAAAAAGTTGGTCGTAATTATCCCTTCTGATTCACTTTAGTTGACAAAACCTTTAATTTATTCCCTGGGTAGGTTGTAGCCAGCGAACAGGCTCCCCTTTTAACCAGAGAGAAAAAACAAAATCGGCGAGCAAAGAAGCAAGCGGGGAAGCCTTTAGACTTTGTTCGTATCATGATCTGTTGGGTCAGATCGCTGATTGTTGACAAGTGAGTGATGAATGTTGACCAAAAATACCCTGTCGATTTATTAATGTTTAATGCAAATTTCCTTTGGTGGAGTACAATCTTCACTTTTAAACAAAGCTATTGTTTACATTTGAGGGATCTTAATAGTCGATATTCGATGGATACATTTAATATTTACATATAATTGATTAATCCACAAAACTGCCCATGCAGTCCATGTCTACATTGCTTGCAGTTCAATAGGCTGGTCCCGCCTTACTGGATACGAAGTGTTTTTGCAGAAAACCTCCTTCAAAGGTCTCCTGAATTCTGGCAATCTAATTGCGTAGATCACTGGATTAAATATAGAATTAAGGTGATAAAATGTTGATGCTATCTTCATAGGTGTGAACTTACTCCATAAGTAATGGTCTGAACTTATCGAGATACAAATAATTATTACCCAGGGAAGAAGAGTAAGTATAGAGGCAGCACTAACTATGAATAAAGTTACTGAAAGTTTTCTTTCTGCTGACATAACCGACCCTAACTGCTGGACATGAGGTCTTCTAATAAATTTTGAAATTATTATAACGTAAGATGTTGTTAGCACTGCAAGGGTAAGAACAACATAAATTATCCAGGGGTATCGATCTGCGAGGGCCGAATCATTCATGCGAATGATGTGTTGAACACATGCTAGAGTCAAAGCTCCCAGCCAACTAAAAATGATAATCGTATAGTAAATGCGCTTTCCAACTAAACAATAATGCCTAAATGGGTATAGTGTTACGTGTAATCGCTCTAAAGAAATTAAAACTAGGTTACCCAGTGAAGCTATCCAACACATGTCAGAGATTATTAAATGTAAAGCTCTGAGTCCATGTCCCGGTCCGTTTCTCTGTTTTAAGAACCCAAAGGGCTTCAGGTCCTGAAACGGCTGCTATCAGTAGATCAGCTACAGTCAGGTTTATTATCAGGTACGTACTGCGCTTGCGTAGCTGGAGAGTTCTTGCAAAGATAATGAGAGTGAAGGCGTTGATTATAAACATCAGAAGAAACTCAGTAAGCCACACTCCAAACCAGATGTTTTTTGTCGCATTAGTCGACATCGTTGAGTTCAATTTGTTGCGGTTGTTGTTGTTGTTGTTGTATTATTTTCTTGCTTTTTGAAAAGGATCTGGAGTAATAAAAGAAAACGGAACTAAATACGAAACAAACAAATTAAAATAAAACAAGATTTTTGCGTTTATTTGGCATCAGATAATACACTAATAATTCTAGTATATTCCGACCAAATGACCTCTGAAGCCCGAACCCACAAATAGTGCGCTTGGGCTGCCTGTGATAAAACTAACAACAACAGCAACACAGTGACAACAGAAAAGCAAAGATTTCAAGGTATCTACCATCTGGAAGCGTAGGATATGTTGGTATTGATGATACTCTTCTGAGAAAGAGTCCAAGCTCCGATCAATCAAAGCTCTGAAGCCATGTTTCGATCTTTTTACTGTTTTTAAGAAATTGTAAGTCCGAGGGTTAAAAAACAGAATAAGACGACAGCGTGAACAACATAAAAGCAAAGATTTCAAATGCTCTGCCCTCTTGAAGCGAAGGGGATATGTTGGTATTAATGATATACTCTACTGTGAAAGTGATTCATGAGGACGCCCTTAGTGTATAGTTTTTAAGTACAAACCCGCTAGGTGCACCTGTACCATAATGACTAAAGTTAAAGCGATGTTTTAAAGCTACTACATATATATAGACGTTCATAGACTGTACTTAATCGATGTTTTACTTTCTTTAATAGGACTGCACATGATTCCTCAATCTAGACATGATCAAATATGAGCCCATAACTTACCTTTAAACGACTAAACCATACCCCAAGGATTATGTGTATACTGAGAGGGCTCTTAGTCATTCTCTCCTTGAGAAAACTACCTCTTGCGAAGATAAATTTACAGCTGTATTTTATGGCAAAAAGCCTGGAAAAAGAAAAAAATGTTCATGAACTTACACACTGTTCTCTGTTAAGGTGGGATAATCACTAGAAACAGTCTGTTGTAATACCTCTTTATCAAGACAATTTCATACGGAACGTGTACTCAAAGCAGAAAAACTTTGGAACAGCGCGTCGATAAAAATTGCCTTAATTAGCAGATTAGCCTCTGAGTTCCAGGTTGAAGTCTTCGAAGTTTGTGACATTACTGCCACTGCCGATTGTCTAGACCAATGGTATTAAATATGGTAATAAGCGTTGGTAGTTTCTTGTTTCTGTAGTTATATTGCTCGTGCTAAGTAGAAGATGTTCAATTATTTGTACAATCATTTTCCGTATTATGCAGACTTGAACTTTCTGGAAGGTTATGATGCTTAGCTCTTAAGGGGGTTATTGTTAAAGATTTGTAACTATGACAAAAGGGAAAATTTCTGTTGTCTAGAGTTCAAACGCATATAAATTTATTTCCTTTTGTCTTTGNATCAATCAAAGCTCTGAAGCCATGTTTCGATCTTTTTACTGTTTTTAAGAAATTGTAAGTCCGAGGGTTAAAAAACAGAATAAGACGACAGCGTGAACAACATAAAAGCAAAGATTTCAAATGCTCTGCCCTCTTGAAGCGAAGGGGATATGTTGGTATTAATGATATACTCTACTGTGAAAGTGATTCATGAGGACGCCCTTAGTGTATAGTTTTTAAGTACAAACCCGCTAGGTGCACCTGTACCATAATGACTAAAGTTAAAGCGATGTTTTAAAGCTACTACATATATATAGACGTTCATAGACTGTACTTAATCGATGTTTTACTTTCTTTAATAGGACTGCACATGATTCCTCAATCTAGACATGATCAAATATGAGCCCATAACTTACCTTTAAACGACTAAACCATACCCCAAGGATTATGTGTATACTGAGAGGGCTCTTAGTCATTCTCTCCTTGAGAAAACTACCTCTTGCGAAGATAAATTTACAGCTGTATTTTATGGCAAAAAGCCTGGAAAAAGAAAAAAATGTTCATGAACTTACACACTGTTCTCTGTTAAGGTGGGATAATCACTAGAAACAGTCTGTTGTAATACCTCTTTATCAAGACAATTTCATACGGAACGTGTACTCAAAGCAGAAAAACTTTGGAACAGCGCGTCGATAAAAATTGCCTTAATTAGCAGATTAGCCTCTGAGTTCCAGGTTGAAGTCTTCGAAGTTTGTGACATTACTGCCACTGCCGATTGTCTAGACCAATGGTATTAAATATGGTAATAAGCGTTGGTAGTTTCTTGTTTCTGTAGTTATATTGCTCGTGCTAAGTAGAAGATGTTCAATTATTTGTACAATCATTTTCCGTATTATGCAGACTTGAACTTTCTGGAAGGTTATGATGCTTAGCTCTTAAGGGGGTTATTGTTAAAGATTTGTAACTATGACAAAAGGGAAAATTTCTGTTGTCTAGAGTTCAAACGCATATAAATTTATTTCCTTTTGTCTTTGAAAATTCTTTGAGCACTTCCACTTGGGAGGTTTAATTTACAGCTGCCTTTTGTCATTTTGTTTGATGTCAAAACAAAATAAATAAAAAAAAGAAAGAAAAACACTGAAAATATTAAACTTTTTCAATCACTTACATTTTACTTCTCTTTGTAAAGGTGTGAATGATATAAGACACTAAGAACATTCTGTAATACTTTTCACTCCATGAGTCATGAAATCTTCTCACCAACTCGAGCCAGGAAAAACTACACACCCGGCAAGGACCTCGATAATAGCGGAGCTCTCGCGCGCGGAGCGCGCCAGCCGAGCACCATGGGTAAGAAAATGAAGTAATCTACCCTTCCGAGAAAAGTTGGTAATCACGTGACCGTACAACGACCGCCCGAGCGACCGTCCGTCCACACCAAAGGCATACCAATGTAAAATAACTCAATCAACAGGTATGGCAACTCAAATGCAACTCGAGGTTATTTTGGCGGGAAATCGCATAACTACCGGCGTCTTGTAAAGTAGAGACAGAGTCAATAAAGAAGAAAATGGAAAGCGGAAATTGTTTCTGTATCCGTGTTGTCTAAAGTATTCAGCTTAGATTCATTGTCCAGCATGTCTACAAATTTGGAATATAGAGCAGGAGAAAGACAGAGAAAAAAAGAAAGTCAGGCTGCAGGCCAGCGAGGCTCAACAAGAAAAAGGGCGAGAGAGAGCTAGAGCGAGAGAGGTAAAACGAAGGAGACATTATTTTTTTTTTGTTGGAAGAACAAGATCAAAATTTTGTAGCGGCGGTGACAAAATAAGAAAAGCTAGCGGCCACCAATGCAAGATGAAAATGAGCGGCAATAAAAAAAAAGCGAACGAGAACACGTACGACATTTCCTCCATAAAACGTGCAACTATTCAAGAAGTTTCTGGACGTTTCACGTTGTCTCATGCAAAACAACGGCAAAGAAATGTACAAAATAAGTGAGGTGCACGTGCAAAGTTGCTTTCTTTTGCTAATTAGACCTATTATTGTTTTTCACTTTTCTTCAGCGTTGCCTTCGCCGCTTAGCATTACACGATTTTATACTTTGTTTGAACTAACTATAAATATTATCGAGAGCTTCGCTTTTAGCCGTGGCTAAATCTATATATATTATGAACATCAATCAGCTCGTTTAGATGAGCGTAGTTAAAAGATTGACACTCNAATGCAACTCGAGGTTATTTTGGCGGGAAATCGCATAACTACCGGCGTCTTGTAAAGTAGAGACAGAGTCAATAAAGAAGAAAATGGAAAGCGGAAATTGTTTCTGTATCCGTGTTGTCTAAAGTATTCAGCTTAGATTCATTGTCCAGCATGTCTACAAATTTGGAATATAGAGCAGGAGAAAGACAGAGAAAAAAAGAAAGTCAGGCTGCAGGCCAGCGAGGCTCAACAAGAAAAAGGGCGAGAGAGAGCTAGAGCGAGAGAGGTAAAACGAAGGAGACATTATTTTTTTTTTGTTGGAAGAACAAGATCAAAATTTTGTAGCGGCGGTGACAAAATAAGAAAAGCTAGCGGCCACCAATGCAAGATGAAAATGAGCGGCAATAAAAAAAAAGCGAACGAGAACACGTACGACATTTCCTCCATAAAACGTGCAACTATTCAAGAAGTTTCTGGACGTTTCACGTTGTCTCATGCAAAACAACGGCAAAGAAATGTACAAAATAAGTGAGGTGCACGTGCAAAGTTGCTTTCTTTTGCTAATTAGACCTATTATTGTTTTTCACTTTTCTTCAGCGTTGCCTTCGCCGCTTAGCATTACACGATTTTATACTTTGTTTGAACTAACTATAAATATTATCGAGAGCTTCGCTTTTAGCCGTGGCTAAATCTATATATATTATGAACATCAATCAGCTCGTTTAGATGAGCGTAGTTAAAAGATTGACACTCTACCAATCTAGGACTCTACATGTTGTTATATCGTTATGAAATTTATTTTGAATAAATTCATGTGAGTATCAAAGAAATACGTGTGGGGCTTTCTGTGCAGATCCTACTGGCTTCATTGGTGACGTAAAATCTCGCGAGCTAAAGTTCTAGCAGAGGGAGAATGGCGGGAGACGCTTTCAATTTTCTGGCGCCATCGGCGCTGGCTTGAACACTAAATTTGTCGCAGAGAGCCTTCTAGTTTAAGTAGATACGTTGCAGGGGTCCCATTTGTTTACTTTGATTGCAATCAGCTCGTTTAGATGAGCGCAGTTAAAAGATTGACACTCTACCAATCTATTAAAATGGTATTGAATATGGTAAAAAAACCTCTGTTCTATCCTTTCTGTGTAAGTTACACGTTTCGAATTATATTAGCAGTTGGTTAACCCATATG